AGGCGACTTCTATCGCCCGGCGGAGTACACCGCGGACGGCGCACGCAAGGCACTCGTCCCGAAGCACGGCAACTCGCTCATCGTGCAGCTCGTGCTGGACGGGATGAAGCTGCAGCCGTGTCGCCCGTCGTTCTTCGACGCCCGCGACGCGATCATATCTGCTGACAAGGTGCTTACCGGCGGCGAGAACTACTGCGATCTCTGGACAGCGTTTGCGGAGCGCGGGTTGGGCCCCGACGCGAGCGTGGAGGGCCGTACGCCGTGGGGCGGAGGCATCCGCCTGAACGACTTCAGCGTGCCGGTGAAGTGCAAGGCTGCCGAGCCTGCACTCTGAGCGCTGTGTGTCTGACCCTTTGCATACTGGATGGGAGGCTCATAGATCATTGGTCGTGTTCTTTGTAATTTTAGTCATGTACAGTTTGGATATAGATCCACTTTACCCTCTGAGTTGGCGTTGAGTTTGAGCGCAGTGTTACCGGGGTTTAGGCAGGTCATACTACGGTCAAAATTGACTGGGGCCAAAGTCAATGCATGACTTGGGAACCGTGAGTGTTATTGAGAAGGTGGTAGAAAGTTTGATTGTCGGCTTCGCGGCCTCTCAGCACTGCGCCTCACATGCCCAGGACCACGCTCAAGGAAGGGTCTGACTGGTGTCAGTATTGACCTTCTACATAACAACTGGTGAGCTGGGAGGAGGAGGAGGAGGAGGAGGAGGAGGAGGAGGAGGAGGGGAAACACGTGTTGCAGCCACAGCCGTTCACGTACGGGAGATGAAGTCATGCGCGCCATGCCCGGCTCACCTCCGCTACACGCCTCATTGGGCGGTCCAGCCATTGTGCTCCTCTTGCTACGACCTCCCATCTCTCTTCCCCAACTACTCTGAACGTATTCTCTGTTACGACTTGACGACGCACACGTAGAACATGTCGGGCGACGCGCTGAAGGATAAAGGGCCCGTGAACGTGAAGCTGCTCCTCATCGGAAACTCCTCTGTGGGCAAGAGCAGCCTGCTCCTGCGATTCTCGGACGAGCAGTGGCTGCCAGAGGACGAGTCGAGCGCGACCATCGGTGTGGACTTCAGGGTATGTCTGCCCTGCCATCCACCTCACGCCGTGCTGAAATGTGGCCCGCCCGGTATAGGTGCATAAGATGGAGGTGAAGGGGCGGAGGGTGAAGCTCAGCATATGGGTGCGCATCCTCGATATACATGCTGGCGGAGGCTGACTGGCTGACGGGTGGGTGTAGGACACTGCGGGCCAGGAGCGGTTCCGGACGATAACGTCGTCGTACTACCGCGGCGCGCAGGGCATCATCCTCGTGTACGACGTGGCAAACCGCGAGTCGTTCGAGGCGCTCCCGCGCTGGTACTCCGAGCTCGAGACGTATGTCTCCAAGTCGGTCGTGAAGATCATCGTTGGGAACAAGGTAGATAAGGTGCGTGCACGCCGCGTCCGGACGGATTTGTGTGGCGGCTGACCCGCCCTCCCCTCCCCTCCCTCCCTCTCACGCATGTGCGCGTAGGAGTTCTCCCGCCAAGTAACGTACGCGGAGGGCGAGCGCTTCGCCGAGCGGATGAACTCGCTGTTCATCGAGGCGTCCGCGAAGACGTCCACTGGTGTCCGGGAAGCGTTCCAGCAGGTGGTCGAGAAGATCATCGATACACCGGAGCTGTGGGCCCCTGTCACGAAGAAGCCCGGCGTGGGCCTGAACAACACAGATAGCGGGAACATGCCCGGCGGCATTAACCTATCCGAGCCACAGGCCGATACGAGCGAAGGCGGCGGGTGTGGCTGTTGAGGGATGCGCATCGAATGTTGCTCGTTGTGCTCTCTGCTTTTTGGCTCGGTTGGGTGTACGACCTGTAGGTAACTGTGTATAGTAGGTGGATGCTCTACGTTCGTGGGCCATATTATATGGAATGCTAATGTCGCTATCTTGTTGCTTATCGAGAAATGTTGCATACCAACAAACCGCAATACACGCATGGTTCTACGGTGCCGTGAATGCTGGCGCTTGTGTAGACATATTGTCCTCACGGCGAGTCTCCAACGTTTGATAGCAACTGAGCTAGCAAGTACTGTGAATTCTGCCCTCTCGTTCATCGGCGGCTGCCATCCAATGATCGGCCCCGAAGCCCTACCTCGTTTGTGCCAGCCACTGGCAGCCTGTCGACGCGTCTGCGAATGGACAGAATCTCCGAGTCCTGAGCTGACGGCATGCCAACATTCGGCATATGCACATACATGCCAGCCCTGTCGCTGGAGGCTGGTAGCACAGCAACGTGTCAGCCGCCACCACTGGAGGCTGGCATGGCCTGACAGCTTGCCTCCCCAACGATCACTCACAATCATGTTAGCTTCGATCGTTAGCCACAGGCGGCGGTATATAAGAGGAGAGCATCGAACACAGCACCGATCCCCTCCTTTCTCAATACCACCTACCCTTGAACTGATGGCGATTCCGTAGACTCGCGCAAATAGAAGTCTAGGGTAGAAATGAACCACTCCAGTATTTCTTCGAACTGGGACTGCCGGTGGCCCCACTACTGATCTTCCAGCTTTCTGGGACGTGGTGGACAGTCAGGAAGTCGTTGGTCAAGAAAACAGCATCCATTACTACGATTGGTGTGGGCGATTCATCATTTCAAATCCGACCTATGGACTCTCAGTGTTGACGCGCCTTCGAACTGTTGCATCCATGGAAAGTAATTATGACCGCCCTCTGGGGAACCACCTTCAAGGTTTATGACAGCATACATGCGTCACCCACCAGAGGATATTTGCCAAGACAAGGAGTCTTCGCCGCTGGAGGCTGGTCGTCGTAGGGCATAGCACTTCATCCGACAACTGCTTATGCCAACCTCCATGCCAATTGTCAGCCACTGTCGGCCAAATATGAGTCATGGTGGACGGCCTCATGTCAAACACCATATCGTCCAGTACACCACAATTGGCATAGCCTTGATTCCCGTCGACCTTTCACCATCTGCTACAAATATCCCGAGATACCTGCTTTTCGTCCAATATTCGGTTCCCAAGCCAGGACGCCGCTGCAGCTTTCCGGAACATGACACTCAAGGAAGGTTCGATGCAAAGAAAGTGTGGCGCCACTTGATTCAGTCATACTGTGCACAGATTTCGTACATTCACCGCCCCCCCAACTACCGCCTCCACATACCCCTATGCATCGTTGTGGGTGGCACCACCTCAGTTGCCGTTGCTGTTGCCGCTGGCGATGTTGAACTGAGCGGTCTGGGCGTAGACCTTGTTCTGGTTGCTGCTCGGAGTAATGTCAGCCTGCTGCAGTCAAACGCAAGCTCGCACTCACTTGGTGTCAACGGCACGCAAGACGTAGCGGCTGCATTGTCATATCGTCAACAACCGCGCTTATACTCATGGCCAGACCCGGGAGGCACTCACCCGGCGGGGACGTTGGGGACCTGGAACGACACCTGCTCGTTGGCGGTGCGAACGTTGTCGACAAGGGCCCAGTTGCGATTGTTGTTGTTCGCGGTGGCCAGCTGGAGGTTGAACTGGGCGGGATCGCCGTTCTGCTCCTGCCAGCGCTCGGTGACGCGTTGGTTGGCGTACCAGCCGTTCGGCGTGTCCAGCACGAGGGCGCTGGCGGCGGCGACAAAGGCGAGGAGTGCGCTGTGGGTGCCAGTGCACGCTGACAATTAGTACTGCGGCGGCCGGGCGAGTGGTATGAACGCCTACCTAAGGGTGAGCTTCATGATACTTGCTGAAAGGCTGCGAATGTGGGTGTTTCTCTGCCTGGGGCTTGTCTTAGGGCAACTTTTCACGTCTTTTATACACACCTGGAGCGGGCCTTTTTGTGCACGTTGAGGGCAGCACGCAAGGCTCGTACGCAATGCCGACGGTGTTGCCTTCGAAGGGGTACTTGCGTGGTTGAATACACTGTCCAACGTGCTCGGACACGGGATTCTCTGCGCGCTGGAGATGGAAGCACTAGCACCCGCAATAGGCCAGAATATGTGATTGCCTTCGTATGGGGTTCGCGAAGAGGTAGGCGACCCGACCAAGTGACAGTGGACCCTGCATGGCCCAATGCCGTCCGAGTCGATGTGCGGCACTCGCTTGGGCGACAGTGGGCCACTGAGGACGAGGATGGCTGTTCAATACGTGTCAGCTCAGAGCAGTGCGTACATTTACCTTGCTAGACCAGTCTAGTGGCGCTCTGTTGAGACCGACCGCGAAGTGTCGCGCAGACTCGGCCGCAAGACGGCAACACAGCGTTTGTACTGAATAGAGAAAAGAGAAACTAGGTGTTCATTTTGTGGATCACTCGTGGGGCGGCCGTGACCGCCATGGCACGTACCGCGTAGGAGGGGAACGTGCGTCGGGTAACGTTCGCGGTCTCGGTCTCGTCGTGCAGCCTGAGGGCCCCACGAAAGAGAGCAGGTGCGTCCAATGACCCACGTTTGACGTGCAACTAACGATGCCGGGGGTCATCTAGATGCCACTGCCGTCATAGAAGATGTTTTCTCAGCAGAGGGCTCGCACCAAAGTCTCCGTAGCTGCGGTGGGGCGCCTGCGTTATTCGTCCTTAAAGCCGCGATCCAGATGCCTAATGAACCGCGTTCGACACATTGCGCCATGTTTGCGAACGGGAGGCACCCAGAGTGCCTACAACCGAAGAAGTTTGGGAACGCAGAATGTGTAGGACTGAAGGCCGGCTGGCGTGCTAGTACGCCCGGGTATGTTGCATGGCGGCCGTCACAGCCTGAGTGGCAAATATGGTCTCTGTGTCAGAAACTGGTCTGCTCGCTCGAAGGCTGGGTATGCACAGACGTGAGTAAGCTCGAGCAGGAGTCCACATTCGCAGGAGGCCACATTCGCAGAAGGCCTATATTCAGCGGGGCAGATCTAGTGACATGGCTCTGGCATCAATCAAAGTATGTACACCATCGAGATTCTATTCTATGCAAGCCTAATTGTCAGCAGGACTATTACAAAGTGCCACGGGGATGGGCCAATATTGCTTCCGTAGCTCAGTTGGAAGAGCGCAGGTCTCATATTCTATCGTGAAGGTTGCATCAGCCTCAAATCCTGAGGTCGACGGTTCGAGCCCGCCCGGGAGCATTTTTGGTCGCTGCCCATGGATTCTCCAGCCCAATCTCTCTCGTGCTTGTAATATTGTATGCAACAAAAATAATCTTTTCTGGACCCTTGTCTCCTGTAAGGGTAGGTAGGATTGAGCGGACAGACGGGAGTGAGCGGGAGCATAGCATGGTCGCGCTCACCATCCGCCCTACTCACCTTGTGCGCGGGTTCTCCGGCCGTGCATCATCGCATGCGGGCCTGCGGTGAATGTACGCATTACTCCTGTGCTCCACAAACAGTTAGCTTGTGCATGCATGTCTCAGCTCACCTTCCAAATCCTCGGCGAACATCCGTCAGCCGTATCTGACCAGGACCCCGCAGTCACACGAAGGGCATCAATGGCACTGCGTGCTGACGGTCGTACGCTTTCGCTGACATATCGCTGCACCCTAGGCTTCCTGTTAGCACACAGGTCCACGGCCTTCTTGCGTCCATTTTTAAGTCGTTGCGTTTGGGCGGCGGGACAGTGAGTGCGTTGTTCAACTATCGAACTTCGAACCCCAGGCGGGTGAAACAGTCACATGATGCGACGCGGTGGAGCGTGGGACATTGATGAGGAGCCAATCAGAACGCTCACTCATGTGTGGCGTTATGTCGCGGTGCGGCACCGCGTTCTCGTTAGTCTCCGTTGCAGACCATAAAAACCGACAAGCGTTGTTTTCTATGAAAGAAAGGATACTGCTGAGATTTCTGAGCCTACGGAAGCTGGTTGCCCGGGCTCCGGTGATGGGTAATGTTATGTCTTGGAAATCACGGTCAATTCCCCGGTATCGTTGCGCCGTTTCGGCTCTGGTTTCACCCTAATTGGAGCATTGCAGATCTATCGTCATTTTTATTTTATTTTAATTCTGATTGTTTACGCTCCGTACTCGAAGTACATGCAGAGACCATAACTACAAGGAAAATCAGTCAGGACCTATTCTACGCCTTGTGGCTCCCTGCTCCAGCATCCACCCGCTGTTCACTTGATGCCCTGGTGGGCGAACTAGGCTTCCTCCTTCGTAGCAGATCTATCGTCATGCACTGCTCCCTGATCCTCGTCACGGCGGAATTCCGGGAGAGGGCAGGAGGGCAATCTCCAGTGTGAGTATAGTACCAGAATTACTGATAGCCAGCGTTGGCCATGACAGCCAAGACGTCCGAATTTTCCATCAAACGCACTACCGCCGTCAACCGGCTACGGTGGCCGTTTGATACGCATGATTGCGAAGCGCGTTAGTCACTGACGGAATTCGATATCATCAATGCCCCGCACGGGTACCTAATATATAGAGGGCTAGCACACGGCGCAACACAGCTCAGCTCAACTTTCTTCTTCCATTGAGCTCATTTCAGGTGCTGGCTAGTACGTCGTCTCTTCGTTACCTCGGCGCGACGAATCGGTGACGTTTCTGAATGCATCAGCCTGTTCATTTTGACGACCTCACGTCCCTTCATACTACTGCAATCCCGTATTCACAAGACATACAATGCATTACTCTACCGCCGCCACCGCTCTCATCGTCGCCGCTGCGACTGCTGCCCCTGCACTAGCAGCCCCGTTGCCCCAGTCAGTCCACTTTCATGCCGCTGCCGACGTATCAGTGCTGACTTGCACCTCTCCAGGGCTGGAGACAGCTATGACCTCGTCCAGCGCGACGTCAACAACTCCAACCTCTGGGAAAGGACGCTTGCTGCCCTCGGTCTGTCCGCCCGCGCCGATGAAGTCGTCACCGAACTCGTCGCCCGGGCATTCGGTCGCAAGTCCCCCCACCCTGAGCCATTTTGGGGAACGCACCACAGCGGGCATAGCACAAGCGGCCACACCAGTGACCACAGCGGGCACAGCGGGGCCGGCGAACACAGCGGCGGGGGCGGTGACCACGGCGACTCTTCAGGTGGCCAGACCCGCCGCTCTGACGATGGCGCCGTCGAGCTCATTGCCCGGGCCAGAGACGGTCGCAAGAGCACTGCCCCTGAGCAGTATTACCCGTCGCACCACGGTGGGCACAGTGGGCACAGCGGCGACCATTCAAGTTCCCAGACCCGCTCGGACGATGGCGAGCTTCTGGCCCGTGTCGATGATGAAGACGTGTTCGCCCGTTTTGACGACGATGGACTGTTCGCCCGACACACTCACACTGGCAAGCCCGTTAAGTCCGACACGACCTTCCCGACTGAGCACGATGTCCCCCACCGCCCTCGCTCGTATGACCAGGAGCTTCTCGCACGCTTCGACGACGAACTAGTGGCCCGGGCTGACCCTCCATTCGGCTTCAAGCCTCGCCCCAAAACAAGTGGGGACGCACTTGTCGCCTACATGCGCAAGAACCACGGCACTCGTTCGGATGATGAGGAGCTTATGGCACGCTTCGACGACGAACTAGTCGCCCGGAACACTCACACTGGCAAGCCCCCTAAGCCTGACACGACCTTCCCGACCGAGCACGGCGGCCGCGTCCGCTCCCACCTTCGCTCGTACGATGACGACGAATTGCTCGCCTGATTTGACGACGATGAACTACTAGCTCGGTATGATGACGACGAACTGCTCGCTCGCTTCGATTTCGGCCTGTATGTTGACGAGCTTGACTGAGGAGGGTAGGGACGGTTGTCCATTGACTTAGCACAAAGTACGGTTCTATCTAGTGTTGCTCATGGATGTTGCACTTGTAGTTCCGCACACGAATACATGCCTATGAAGGGTTATATGGTCTTTCTCTCATTGTGTGCGCAATATGTTCAGTAAGGAGTATGCAAGTTCCCCTGCCACGAGCCCCCCGCTGTGCTCGTCGTGAACGCTGTAGACAGCCTCTGAGAGCCGCACTGCCAGGTTCAAGTTGAGTTTGCAATCGACCCTGTATAGGTTACAATTATTGTTCGACTATAGATACTACGATGAATGAGCGAGAGCGGATAATCTGAGCGTAGCGTTCCCAACGAGAAGAGATCGAGTAATAAGCTACCCGTAATGCGGAGAGGAACGACACATATGGACAAATGTATACACCGAAAGAAGGGGATAACGCCAACCCAACGATGCATCTCACATCTAGGCCACATTGCGCTCTGGCGCATCCGCGTCTGCGTGAAGTCTATGACCGCGTGCCGCGCGTGTCGTCGCTACGATGCGCGGGTGGGATGTTGAACGACGTGTTGATTGGGCTCCATCCATCCTCCGCCCGCTCCTCTGCGCGTATGAGACTCGCGATGCTCGCCGTATGCCGATGGCTCTTCTTCGCCTGGCTTGCGGCGCCCGCCTTCGGCTTCATGAGCGGCGTCGCGGACGTCGGGCCCGGAGTAATCGGTGAACGGAAGGTGATGTCCATCTCCTCGTCCGACTCTCTGTCTGAGTCGAACTCGTAGTCCGAGGTGTCACGCATGACCGCATCGTTCGCACGTCCCCGTCTCCCCACAGGTTCCTCGAGGTCGTATAACTCGTACTTGGATCGCTTTCCTCCAAACATTGCGTTGCTCAGCCCACCTGGGGGCAGTAAGCCGTTTGCGCCCTTGAGCTCGTCCGGTAGGAAGAGGTAGAAACAAACGATAGCGAGGCACGAACCAGCTACGACGTCGATCAGGTAGTGGTGTGTGAGGTACATGGTTGCCCAGTATAAGACCACCGTGTACGTCCAGATGTACCTTGTGCACTGCGGGAAGAAGTGCGAGATAAAGAGTGCCTCTATCGTCGCGCATGCCGAGTGCAGCGACGGGAAGGCACCGAAGACGACGGGTGAGTTGCTGAACGCGACAGTGTATCCGTTAGAGTGGAACAGCCGGTCGATGCGCGCCAGTCCGGCTGGAGACCCGGGCATGCTGTAATTGGCCGGTGTAAGGCCGTAGATGAGTTCGTACCACGGCGGTGCGCAGGGCAGAAGGATCTGGATGAGGACGCCAATGAGGTTCATGTAGCCGAACACCCGTGCCCAAAGATGCAGTGACTCCTTCGTGCGGAACAGCCAGAGGAAGGCTGCGACGACGAAGGGGAAGATGTAGTGGATGACACCGTAGGGGAGCCATGCCAATATGTCGAGCAGCTTGTGCGTGAACCGGGTGAGCAGATCGGATATGTTCGCGCCGTATAGCACTGATTCAAGCGTCGGCAGGAGAACGACCGAGATGCCTGGCCGCCAACCCACGGGAATGAAGCGTGACGAGTAGAATGTGAGGAGCCACGCAAAGACCGGGGTAGCTGGGATGAAGAATTGCGAGGTAAAGGGTACGATGAGTGCAATGGTGTAGAGAGTGGGTATGACGAGCTTGAGCGGGAAGCCTGGAGCTTGCATTATGCTGATCCAGAACGTGGCGAGGGCTAAGTGAAAGATATAGACGGAGTCGGAGAACGTCCATTTATGCTGACTGAGTCGCTGGAGTGTATCTTTCGGCGACAGCGACTTGTCCAGTCGCCCTACAGCAGAACTGAAGGCAGTCCATACCCGCTGGAGAGTCCGCAATACCAAATTCTGAACAGACATTAGAGGTCTAGTGTGCGTAACGTCAATATATCGCATGAGTAAGATGAGGGCTTCACGCACCGGTGTTTCTTATGTAGCCAAGAAGAGGCTGAGCAATTCAGTGAACGTCCTCCTCGATGCAGAGCCCTGACTGGCACAGCCCGTCCCGGCGTGAAGTGGTCGTGGTCGAAGATGGACAGTTACGCGCTCGCTCTGCGTCTTCCCTTGCCGAGCGCCCGCTGCTCGGACTTGCAGTCGCACGCCCCTTGCAAGCGTAACACCATGCATCTTTCACACTCGTTCTCATCCTTCTGCTGTCTCAGAGATCTTCACTACCCAGCAGACAGAAGCCATGAAGTTCTCCAAAGCTTTGGCCGTCCCCTTGGAGTTGAAGCTATGTCTTCAGTTCGGCTTTGTTCCGACACTGCGTGCAGTATTGCGCTCACCGACTCTGTTCTTCCACCCCCGCGCAATCTCACGGATCTTCATGCATCACGTATGGAGTGAATACGGAGACGGCGTTGATTCAAACTCTCGATCAGTGAA